AAAAAGCAATTTGCCTAACTTAATGGGCTCATACGACTTAAAATAAAAGAAGCTCACCTATGCAATTTCGGATTCCGGCTGAGAATGGGATAAACGCGAACGGGTCACGTTTCGTCACTTTTTCTGGAGCAAAATGCTCAGGATCATACACTTCCGGATCATCATAATGCTGTAAAAGCTTTGTAGACAGGCTATCAGTGAAATTTTGCATTTCACTTTTTTTGCAAACGAAAAGGATGCAGAGGCATTTGATCAACCAAAATTGTCCTCTTTCAACGTTATCGATCATTTTCATCCGTAACAACTGCTTGAGAGCATGTTAAAAACGATTGCTCTCCCGCTTTCGAAGCGAATCAGTAATCTATGGAGAGACAAATGACAATCAAAACACCAGCAGCGCCAAAGCCACGTCATTTTTACAAACACTGTTAACAGACTATTGGAGTAAAGAAAATAAACCAGCTGAAAGTTGGTTTCTTTTGAGGGCCAGGATCCAAGCACAATCTTCTGGAGCTCAAAAGGACCCCTGAAAGATCCAATACAACAAACTACTCTAGCGATTATTTTTTTTTTAAGAAATATGCTTTGGACAGTGATCGTTTTTTTGATTAAAAAATAGAATTACTGCCGTTGTTCGAAATAATATAGACACAGGCATTATATCGTGAACAATCGGTTTTTTAAAATACCTCTGGATCACGCATGACAGCGAATGGCGATATCGCACAAGTGACGCCCGCGGGTACCGTATAACCACCTGAAATGTACAATAACAATTCACATGGCTTATCCACTCGAACGACTAAAATAATTTTTTCATTTTTTACACTTTAAGCTTTTGCAGAAGTGTACCAATGAAAATAACATTCAGTAATACGGAAAACTTTAGGACCTCTCATCATATGCCCAGTACTCTTAGTTTATCAACACCACATTCGGCGTACCGATGAGATACAGCGACTGTGCTGATTAGAAATGTACGCAGTTTGACGGATCGAAGTTTTCCTGTCCATTTGATTATTGCATGTATACCTTTTTATATTTTATATATATCACCACTAATATCACCACTCATTTTTTTCTTTTTGAATTCCTTCTTCCTATTCTCAGAAATCGCTTTTCGAGCCACAGTTCGCGCAGCTCGAAATGCGAAAGAAAAAATTCCACTGCTTACAAATTGCAACATCATGCGTCAACTTCCGACCCAGAAGTACCACATTTGGTGTGATGCGGCCAGTTTCACAGATGCACTGATGAAGATATTTCAACTCGTGCACGTCTTCCTCTGTAACATCGCGTTCTACGTCGCCTGCAATTACTTTTAAACTTGGTCA